TATGTAAATATATACATACATACATACTGACTAACCTACTGTATATGTATTTACACATACTTATGTACACATACATATACACATACTTCCATATAAAATTCACAGTATTATACGACTTCGCCTGAGTCAGACATTATCTGCTTGCAACAACAGATAAGTTTAAAGGCTTATCTTTGAGCTCAGTATGAGGACGTAGTATGTATAACTGGCAATAATGCTTTCAATCTGCGCACCTTAAGTAGAGGCGGCTACTAAGTTACTCTTATATATACATAAATGCGTGTGTGTTACAAATAATAGGAGGAAAGTTGAACATTTGCGTTAAAAGCACTTTTATCTGATTTAACTAATTGTATGTATTATTAGCACACAAAGTTAATAGAAAACTACTAAATAATTATTATAGCCTGTAATGTAAAATTTATATTATATTTAATAAACAGTATATATAAGTTAATTATTTCTTATTAGATTCAAAGTAGATTTAAATATACGTATATATATGTATGTGTGAGTAGCTGAGGAAGCTTTGTTCGTTCTGTGTTATTGGATATGTGAATGAAAATGGAATCTGATCAGAATAATTTCTTGTATAAATTTAGACTCAATTAACCGATGTTTGTTTTTTTATAAAATATTTTGTAGTCTTCTTATTTTACTGAAAAAAAAATCAAATATTCGATTATATTCTTTAAATTATATTTCAGTTTACATAATTACGTATTGATCAAATTATAACATTATTTAAGTTAAACATCCTGTTTATAAAATTTCGTATTTTCTGATTTTCTTCTTTTTTCTTTGTTTTTCAGATTTTATACAAGCTTCAAAATGAATCCCCAGCCGAATTCAAATTTGGAGCAGTCCTTGGTGACGGAGGCGGGCCACATACAAGCCCAATATTCAGCTTTTCAAAACTTTGAGCAATACACCGCTGCCGGATATACAAATGCACCGTTATATATTTCAAAGCCAACTGGCATGGGGACTTTGACGCGTATTAATCCCCATTGCTCTACAATTGGATCTCAAAGTAAAATAGAAACAGCTTCGCAAGAAGTGACCATTCCCGGTATGGAACCCCATACCTTAGTACCGACGGTTAGGTATATACAAGCACCACAGTTTGATGAAGGAGCTGATTTCGGCTTACCTGGCCTACCGCCATGTGGGCTAGAGCCGCATTATACAGACGAACCAGCTATACCATACGGTTATACTGCAGATTCCAATTATGGATTGCCGGGCGTGAGTGCAAATATGAAGCAATTCGCCTCACGTCCCTTCGACAATAACCTAAATGGATCTGAATCAGCTATTGATTCCCAATGCAGATCTTTTGAAGGTCAAGGAGATTTCAAATTAGTACCATTTGCCACGAGCTCCCTAAACACTGTGCCGCCCAGAGTCGGGGACAAGGAGGACTTCATTGGCGGTTCGGACAGTGATCTATGTTCCACAATGAGGTGGCGTGACCCAAACCTCTCTGAAGTTATAAGCTTTCTCAGTAATCCTAATAATGCTATAAAAGCAAATGCTGCCGCATATCTGCAGCATTTATGCTACATGGATGATCCGAACAAGCAGCGGACAAGAACATTGGGGGGAATACCGCCGCTCATCCGATTATTATCTTATGATGCTCCGGAAATTCATAAGTGAGTGCTTAAAATCATACCGTTAATGATTATAAAACTAATAAAATTCTCTATTTTTGTCTTTTTTCTTTGTTTTTTCATAGAAATGCTTGTGGTGCATTGCGAAATCTGTCTTATGGCAGGCAAAACGATGAGAATAAACGGGCAATTAAGAATGCAGGCGGAATCGAAGCTTTGGTGCATCTGCTTTGCCGGTCTCAAGAAACTGAGGTCAAAGAATTGGTAACTGGAGTCTTATGGAATATGTCCTCGTGCGAAGACATTAAACGGTCAATTATTGATGAGGCGCTGGCTGCTATAGTATGTAATGTAATAAAACCCCATTCGGGATGGGATCCTATCTGTTGCGGGGAGACATGCTTTTCCACGGTATTTCGCAATGCTTCGGGAGTTTTGAGAAATGTCAGCTCAGCTGGCGAACATGCGCGAGAATGCCTTCGTAACTGCGAAAACTTGGTCGAGTCTCTACTTTACGTCGTTCGATCATCCATTGAAAAGAATAATATTGGAAATAAAACAGTTGAGAATTGCGTTTGCATTCTGCGCAATCTATCGTATCGATGCCAAGAAGTTGAGGATCCCAACTATGATAAGCATCCATTTATTATACAGGAAAGGACTGTTCCATCCTCATCGAAAGGTAAGCAATGTAATATTTAGTTGATATATAAACACCATATTTTTTATTTATAAATATGTATAATTGTATTGTTGCATTGTTATATATTATTTTTAGGTGAGAATTTGGGCTGCTTTGGCACAAGTAAAAAGAAGAAGGATTTGGCACTGAATGAGTCGCAGCAAGACTATATATTTTCAACGGAATATGCAAAGAATACCCGAACAAACAATAAAACCAACAAGGGATATGAACAGCTCTGGCAACCGGAAGTGGTGCAATACTATCTCTCATTGCTGCAAAGCTGCTCTAATCCCGAAACGCTTGAAGCCGCTGCCGGTGCAATTCAAAATTTGTCAGCTTGTTACTGGCAGCCGAGCATTGATATTCGCGCAACGGTGCGCAAAGAGAAAGGCCTTCCGATACTGGTCGAACTGTTGCGAATGGAGGTCGATCGTGTCGTTTGTGCCGTTGCCACAGCACTGCGCAATCTTGCTATTGACCAACGAAACAAAGAATTGATTGGAAAGTACGCCATGCGCGATTTAGTCCAAAAACTACCATCTGGGAACGCTCAACATGACCAAAATACGTCAGACGACACCATCACAGCAGTATTGGCCACCATCAATGAAGTCATCAAGAAGAATCCAGAGTTTGCGCGTTCGCTCCTGGACGCCGGTGGTGTAGATAGGCTAATGAATATAACAAGACGCAAGGAACAATATACTACGTGCGTCATCAAGTTTGCCAGTCAGGTTTTGTACACCATGTGGCAGCACCATGAGCTGCGCGAAGTATATAAAAAGAACGGATGGAAGGAACAGGATTTCGTTAATAAACACTTTGCAGCACATAGCACCCCGCCAAGCTCACCAAATAATGCTAACAATACTCTAAATAGACCAATGGCATCTCAGGGAAGAACGCGTTACGAGGATCGAACAATCCAACGTGCCCCGAACTCATCTTATCGAAATAAAGATGCACCACCTGGAGCTGTCATGTCCAACAACGATTCCGCATTGTTGTCCGAAATGGTTCGAAAACAATTATAAAGTGTATATTTGTTTGAATTTTTTTTTTGTTTATTTTACTAGTTATATATACACACTATATAACTCTTAAAATAACTAAGAGGTGAAAAATGAATTGTTTTACTGGGGCTTTATACTTTTCTCTAAGGTGGTAAAGTGAGAACGAAAGCAAAATCTGATTTGTTAAAATTTGTCTTTTTTTAAATTTCTTATTTTTCTTTTTTTTTTGTTTGGTAAATCTAAAATTAATATACATATCAATGCAAAGTAAAAGAACTAAAATATGTGGGAAAAGAATTTAATGAAATTTTAGGATTAAAGATCCAATCATTTTCTTCAATGAAATGGGTTTACAAATTTTATATATAAAGGGAGTTTTTGCAATGGGTGCCTAGGGTTACACTACGAAAGAGAGACAAATTCTTAAGTATATTGGGGTTTCCAGATATTCTTTTTAAATAGTCGGCAACCAAATAAATGTAGATTTCCATAACTTTCATAATTAAATTTCTCCCGATTCCTTTAATGAAATGTAAGAATTGTTATAGCCCACATATGTAAATTCCTCAAATCTCATAACGATTGGATTGTTCGAGATTGTTTGCTTATAATAAGATAACGGCAATGAAGCTATTCCACTTTTGATTTGATCACCATTGATTCTAAGGCCTTATATTATATCTGAAACATAAATGGGTTGCTTTAAAGTGTGTCTATATTATTTTTTAAGTTTAACGATTATATATATAGAAATACATATATATTATAATTTTAATTAATTTTAATAATAACTTTTCGAATATATCGATGGAAAACTTTCTGGACGCCCTTAGATTAAATATAAGACCCCAAAGAGCAAATTTTATGTTTCCTAAGTTATTGTATTTAAATTGCATTGTTTCTTTTATTACTTATACTTACTAAGATTAGTATTGAATAAAATAATTATAAGGGGTGTAATTCATTTCACACCGACTGTATGCATTTGACTACATAATAAAAGAATTAGATTATTCGTGTAGATTTATGTATGTATATATTGTTACACAATTAAAAGCAACAAATTACATTGGGTAGGGCTTATAATCAGAGGCCGTAACGGTCCGTGAGTATTGCATACAAATATTAACTTAAACAATTATTTATTGATTTTTACTCTATACATATATATACTAAACAGCAATAATTAATTTGGACTTTTGTTGTAAAAATGATTTATATTCAATTTCTGATTTCCATTATAAACATTTCCAAAAACGAATTATTAAAAACAATTTTATATCAATAATAATTAATGAAAACGGCTTCTTTCTGAAGACTAGCTAATATTTTTGGGTAAATATTGTAGATTATTATATTTTGTTGATCTAGCTTAATGTGGAAAACATATTTCAATGAGAGATATCAAAGCAAGGCTGAGTGGTAAATCAATTACGAATAATGATACGATGTTTTAATACTGAACTTTGCTGGTTATAAATTTCTATGCTTTCAATATTAACAATTCCGCCTATGAATACAAATTATTATCGATAGATATCAAATCGATAGTAACAGTGGGAAATGCAGAAAGTAGAAACATGTTTATATATGACATTTTTGTTGTCCTAATTAAAAATATCGAATATATATTTGTTATCGAAAATACTTTTCCAACAGTACTGAAATCGAATATATAATAATAGTGAACTCCATCCCTGGCTGTATAAGTCGGCTTTTACATTGTTTTTCAACTGCCTTGTGGATATGAATTCTCCAAATAAACATTTATAAAATGGAATATGAATCCTCCTTACCTGAGCTTGGTGGTAAATTAATTTAAAGTTAATTAGTAGTTGAATCTCATCTATATGTGCTGCAATAAAACCATATGTATATCTACGTGAACGTAAATTTATATCCAGTGTACTTGCAGACATTTATATATGCATATACCTATGCGTGTGTGCCTCTGTGTGTGTGTGCTTACATATTTATGCATTTGTATATATTGAGTAAGATGAAGAAAAATATACATATATGCATATAAATATGTACATATGTGTATAAATAAACAAATACAAATGTGTGCAAATTCTACGTCACATACTTGTGTATGTATATATGTATTTACAAAAAATCATACCCAGTGAACATGCATACATAAATATATGCTTATTAGACTGTTCGTGATGACATAAATACGCACATACACACATGTATACATTTATACAATGAAAACTATGAGTATTTCCTAGATCTCAATCCTTGTATAAAATATTTGTGATAATTTATAAATAAGTTTGTAAAATTCCATCATACTGTGTAGTAGTTTGTGATTCATGCAAGATTTAAAAATGGAAGTACTACAAATATTCGATGAGGTCCCCACCGCAGATGTAATATTCAGAGAGACCCCCGTCATTGACATCGCAATATTAAAACCTTTCTTTTACCTTATCAGCTACCCTCCCGCTGTGTGTTTCCCTCAATTATCATACGGGACGTGTTGCGAATTCGATCAGATGAAACTTTTTATAGCCGTTGCCGAAGTGAATTAAGTATATAGCGGCTGTGGAATGTGTTGCCGTGCCTGCGCCTGTTTACCTGAGCTAGAGATAATATTATATATTCCTGTGTGTGTCCCCGTTTGATAATGTGTTAAGATTGTGTGGAAGACGCCCGCTTGGGCGTGGCGGATCGGCCAGAAATGTTGGGTATATCAGTTCAGTTCATACATACATAGTATATATAGATTCCATTGTGAATATGTCTTCTCGTTTGGGGATGTTGATCCCCATTAATCGTTTGGTCATCGTTGATCAATTGAGTACCAAATTTACGTTAGATATATAAAAATATATATAATACATAAATAATAATTTACGAAAGATACCTCAGATTCAGTGATAAACAAAATTTTATAATATATTAAAATATTAAAATATTTAAACCATTCTAATACGTTTTAAATTGAATTTTTTCAGATCTTCTCACCTTAAGCTGCAATAAGAGGCTCGAACTTTTGGAGTCATTTTTAAGTCAACCCGATGGTGACAAGAAATTAAACCATAGCCTTAATTTAGAAGATAATTTTAAGAGCCACCAATTTTCTCTGGATGCTTTATTGGACACATTCATATTACTCTATGATGAATGCAGTAATTCATCTCTGCGGAGAGAAAAAAGTGTATCGGATTTTCTTAAACTTGGTAAGCAAGCAAGTAAAGTAAAGTCTATATGATCTATGTAGGTATAAATAACTAAAAGCACCCATTTATATGTGACTTAGTTCGGGGAATTCGTGATTTGTATAATCAGTAATTATTATTTCTTTGATTACTATACTATATTTTTATTTTCTTTACAATTTCAGCTAAGCCTTTTGTTCATATTGTCAGGAAGCTACGGCTGACGCGTGATGATTTTGAAATTTTAAAAATAATTGGCCGTGGCGCATTTGGTGAAGTGTGTGTTGTTCGCATGCTATCATCAGAAAATATATTTGCCATGAAAATATTAAATAAATGGGAAATGCTGAAGCGTGCGGAGACTGCATGTTTTCGCGAAGAGAGAGATGTGCTAGTCCTCGGAGATCGTCAATGGATAACAAATTTGCATTATGCGTTTCAGGATAATATAAATTTGGTATGCCATTTATTTAAAGTATTGATTGAGTTAATTTATTTACATATTGATTTCTTATTTTAGTACCTGGTCATGGACTATTACTGCGGTGGCGATTTATTAACGCTGCTGAGCAAGTTCGAGGATAAACTTCCAGAGGATATGGCAAAATTTTATATTACAGAAATGATTTTGGCAATAAATAGCATTCATCAACTGAAGTATGTTCACAGAGATATAAAACCGGACAATGTTTTGTTGGACAAACGTGGGCATGTGCGTCTGGCTGATTTTGGTTCCTGCTTACGTTTGGATAAGGATGGCACAGTGCAATCAAATGTTGCTGTTGGAACACCCGACTATATATCGCCCGAGATCTTGAGGGCTATGGAGGATGGAAAGGGTCGTTATGGAACCGAATGTGATTGGTGGTCACTTGGTGTATGCATGTACGAAATGTTATATGGAGAAACACCATTTTATGCAGAGAGTTTGGTGGAAACCTATGGAAAGATTATGAACCATCAGAATTGCTTTAATTTACCCGCTCAAGATACTTCACACAGTAAGTTATCTGAAGCATCTAAGGACCTACTACGCAGACTAATTTGTATTCCTGAAACGCGGCTGGGCCAGAAGGGGCTACGTGATTTTATGGAACATGCATGGTTCGAGGGGATCGATTGGGAGAATATAAGAAATGGTCAAGCGCCTTATATACCAGAAGTGTCGAGTCCAACAGATACATCGAATTTTGACGTTGACGACAATGATGTGAGATTAATTGATTCTATTCCGCCATCGTCTAACCCGGCCTTTTCTGGATTTCATTTGCCATTTATTGGATTTACATTTTCTCAAAATAATTGTAGAACGGACCTGAAAACAGACGACTTATTTCCTGATAGCAAAACGCAAACATCTGTTTTCGACGAGAGTCTTGGAAACTCTGTTTCGAGCAATAAGCAATCAAAAGATGCAGAAAAATCAAACGAATCACTCAATAAACAAATTAAAACATTAACCGAACAATTAGTCACGTGTAAGCACGAGAAAAACGAACTGTCCGCAAAATATAACGAAATACTTGAAAGACTACAAGTTCAAGAAGCTGAACTAAAGGAAACAATAGCTCAGCGTAATGTCGCAATGATGGAATACTCAGAAGTAACCGAAAAACTCACAGAACTTCGAAACCAAAAACAAAAACTCTCAAGACAGGTTAGAGATAAGGAAGAAGAGCTCGATGCGGCAATCCAAAAGAACGATAGCCTGAGAAACGAGCTGCGTAAATCGGATAAAACTCGTAGAGAATTGGAACTGCATATTGAAGATGCTGTAAACGAGGCGTCCAAGGAGAAAAAAATAAGAGAACATGCCGAAGAATGCTGTCGAAAGCTACAAAATGATTACCGCAAATCGGTACCGAATGTCGACTCTACTTCGCCCTCGGGAATGGCGGCATACGAATTGGAACGCGTCGAACTTCAATATGCGGAAAAGCTAAATCATCAACAGGCACGGAATAACTTTGAATTGGATGCCCTAAAGGAACAAATAAGCGAATTGGAAGCGGCCAACGCAATGCTCTCTAAAGAACTGCAGCAGGCGCATGAAAAGATCAAATCTACTCCCGATTATATAGCCGACTCAGCAGAAGCGATATTGGAGTTGCAGAAGCGATTCGATTTAGAGAAATCCACATGGTACGAGGAGAAGCAACGTTTGAACACAGAAGTCAGTACGAAATGCAAAAATCTACGAGACTTGCAGGCCGATGAAATTCAAATATTGAAGGAACTCCAGGTTAAGCGCGAAGCAATAAATCATTGGGAACTGCAAATGGCCGAAATAATACAATGGGTGTCAGATGAGAGGGATGCTCGAAGCTATTTGCAGGCGCTGGCAACAAAGATGACTGAAGAAATCGAATATCTCAAGCATGTGGGAACCTTGAACAATAATGCCGTTGATCATAAGAATTGGCGAAACAGACGTTCCCAAAAGCTAGATAAAATGGAATTGCTAAATTTGCAAAGTGCTCTGCAACGCGAAATTCAGGCGAAGGCATCCATCGCCGAAGAGCTTAGTCAAACTAGAGCCGAACTCATTTCTACCCAAAAAGAAGCTGTCGATTATAAGAAGCGATGTGAGTCTATCTTATATGACCTGAAGAAGAAAGAGGTCGAACTGAGAGACTTGCAGAAAATGGAACTTGGCTATTCGGAATCCTTTTTGAATAAGGCATCCCATCATAATAATGCCTTCTTCAAGGATATGTCTATGAACACTGAAGTTGCGGAGTCTGAGGAATCCTATGCTAACGATGCAAGGGACAGTATTTCATCGGCCTCTAATTTGTTTCAGGCTGCGAATCCGGGCATGCTTTTCAACTATGAGTCGAAGTATTCACTCAAGCCAGGGAAGGACAACTTAAGTGTGAAAAATGCTGCTATGAATGATGACATTCGATCAGAGCACAGCCTTAACTATGAGGAATCAAAGAAGAAGATGAGCAATACGTCAATTCATCAGTTTCTCGTGCGAACCTTTAGCAGTCCTACCAAATGTAATCACTGTACTTCTTTAATGGTCGGCTTGACACGGCAAGGTGTTGTTTGTGAAATTTGCGGATTTGCATGCCACACTGTCTGCTGTCAAAGAGTGCCGACCATGTGTCCCGTGCCCATGGATCAAACCAAGAGACCATTGGGCATAGATCCAACTAGAGGAATTGGAACAGCTTATGAAGGCTATGTGAAGGTGCCCAAATCGGGAGTCATAAAACGGGGCTGGATTCGTCAATTTGTGGTTGTCTGTGACTTCAAATTGTTTCTGTATGATATATCTACCGATCGATGTGCATTACCTAGTGTAAGTGTGTCCCAAGTGTTGGATATGCGGGATCCCGAATTCTCTGTTGGCAGCGTACGAGAGAGTGATGTCATTCATGCTGCTAAAAAAGATGTTCCATGTATTTTTAAGGTAATTTTGTATACAATTTTGTTAACCTTCAATTACAATGAATTATTATCTTCACTTTTAGATAAAAACTTCTCTCATTGAAGGAGGAATCTCATTAAGCACTTTGATGCTGGCTGATAATGAATCTGAAAAGTCCAAATGGGTAATTGCATTGGGCGAACTTCATCGAATTTTAAAACGAAATAATTTACCAAATACGGCCATTTATAAAGTTAACGAAATATTGGATAATACCCTGTCGATTATACGAAACGCTCTGTGTTCTGTTATAACTTATGCGAATCAAATTTTACTAGGAACTGAAGATGGATTGTTCTACATCAACTTGGATCAATATGGTAACGATTGAGTAAATATTAAACTATATATTATGTGAATTATAAAAACAATTTATTCCTTCAGAAATTGCACGAATTGGCGAAACAAAGAAAATTTTGCAGTTGTGGTATATTGAGGAAGAGCAGATAATTGTTATTCTTTGCGGAAAGCAGCGACATTTGAGGCTTTTACCTATAAGGGCTTTGGAGGCAAGCGACGTCGAATGGATAAAGGTCGTGGAGTCTAAGAACTGTATTTCTGCTTGCACCGGAATTATACGACGCTATCCAAGTATTGTGTACTCGTTTATCATTGCGTTAAAGCGACCCAATAACCACACCCAAATCATTGTATATGAAATCAATCGCACGCGTACAAGACACCAAAAGACTTGCGAGTTCACGATCGGATATCTAGCTCAACATCTACAAATATTGTCAGACATGCGTCTAGTTGTCGCACATCAAAGTGGATTTACAGCGTATTTCCTGAGAGGCGAGGCAACAGCAATGTGTAAGTACATTCTTTATTTACTAATATATTTTTTATTTGTTGGTAATATTTTGAATTTCTTTATTAGCCCTTGTTCATCCAGAAAATCAACTCTGCGCATTCTTGAATTATTCTGGCGTTGATGCAGTTAGAGTAATTGAAATATTGTCTCCAACCGGTGGAACCTTTGGGGAATATCTATTAGTATTTCAGACTCTTGCAATCTATGTGGACTTGCAAGGACGCAAATCACGCGATAGGGAAATAATGTATCCAGCTTTTCCCACTTATATAAGTAAGTATTTTCAGTACAATATTATGGAACTATATAACTAAATTCTTTACTTCTTATTTTCAGCATATTCCGATGGTCATCTGTTAGTATTTTCAGAAACTCATTTGGATATATTCAATACACAAACATCTGAGTGGGTTCAATCCATTGGTATAAAACAATCGCTTCCTCTAAACAATATAGGAAACGTTGTTTTAACATCAATAAATGATACACCTCTGATTGTGTACTTAGCTAATATTCATACAAGTAAGTGTTATAAATAATAAATCACATAATAAAAAGATGACTCTTTAATGATAAAGGATTTAATTTTTAAATTAATATAAATATTTTTTCTTTACAGAGGGTCTTTTGCAGTATCATGATGGTGACCAGAAGGGAGTCAGCAATATTAAACGTAGATTTTCTATAAGAGAAATAAATAAAACCGTTAAAAGGTAATTCCAAGAATTTACACAACTTTTGCAATGTAAAATTGTAAAGTACTCAAATTGTTTTGCGTATTATATATTTATTAAAATTGTAAATTTTATTATATTTCAATTTCAGTGATCGAAGATCAAAGATGATATCTGGGCCAACGAATTTCAACCATATTTCCCATATGGGGCCTGGTGATGGTATTCAAAATCAGCGATTATTGGACTTGCCAACAACTCTAGAGACAGCTGAGCACGCAAGTAAACAAATCATAAGTTCGTTAAATTCCGTGAACCAAATAAGGAAATGTAACTATCTGGATCAAGGTAAGTGCTAACAAAAAATTGTACTATATTTAATGTGATATATATTTTTTTATCTTAAAAAAGTGTTGTTTGTATTTATATTATATTCTATTTTATACCCACTAATCAAAATCTTTTTGATCGTTTTAGCTGATGGTAACTCAGAGGATTTTGGTAATGACAATTTGCCATCTAGAACTCCCAGCCCATTAGGAACGTTAATTTTTGATGACCTAAATAATATCGATTAAATTGTAATCTCCATATTAATTTAACCTAATGCCGAATAAACTCGAACAAATCAAATTTGTATTGCTAATGCATATTATTTTATAAAACTGCATGAAAAAATCTAGCAAAACAACACGTTTTCTTACATCAACTTTATTTAAATATAAATATTTATACAAATATGTTTATAAGCAACTATGTCTTTGGGTTAAAAACTAAAATTAATGATGGGTCATTCCATCAGTCCGTTCTTTTGTATCCCCGGATAGCAATCTAATGTCCTGATCTGATCGGCATTTCGTATGGCTGCCTTAGACAAATCCTGACGAGCAACAAACTCAGGAAAAAATTTGCAAGTGATCTCGAGCCACTTGAACTGATTTGAATGCTATCAATAAATAGGTTGTAGGTGCAGCTACTGGGTGGCTTTACAAATGTGGTAAAGTTGGGGTAGCGTATGATCTCGGAGGGCTGCAAAGGATAAATAATTTGTATATTTTGTTTTTGGTAAAATAAAAATTAACTTACAATTGACATGGACTCATTGGAAACACGACAAAAAGTCATATGTTTGCCGGTTATCATGGCATGTTCCACGCGTTTGGTAAATAACGGTTCCGACCAAGGCAATTGATTTAAATGTGAAAGGAATGTGCGATCATGAAACTCCACAGGATCCGATATGAGCAGTTTATCTAAAAAAGTCAGCAGTAAAGTTAGGCATATTCATATCAATATCTCTATAAATATTCATACTTAGTAGGGATCCTTCCACGACCATGTCTTCAGCGGTCATATCGGTGTGGTTTGTCTTCGATTTGCTGTATACCGTGTTGGGCATGTAATCTAGTAAATTTCCGTTGTACAGAAAGAGGTTTTCAACATCTGTCATATTCAATGAATAGAACTGATTGACACCAAACATCTCAAAGAATTCACGCACCGGCGTCATGCTATAACAGCCGGCTAGCTCGATTTTCGGGTAATACGTGATGAAGGATAAACACATTTCCTGTTTGGTTGAATAGCCACCGAATGTGGTTCGTTTGCGATGCAGAGTGTCATAGGCACAGTCTGTAATAATATAATCTCCAGGCAAAACGACTGTCTCGTTGGCCAACTGATGAAATTGCTGATACTTATAATCATAGTTATCATCCTCAATGATGCGTGGCAATTCCTTGCCGCCTCGAATATGGCGCAGGCTCATTTTGCGACCAGCGCGATGCGTGTGTAGAGTGCCAGAAATGATTTTAATGCCATCTTCGGGAAACAACTGTAATAATTGAAATTAAAATAAACAGAAAACATTTTAAGTAGCTTTTTACTTACAACATTGGAGCACGAAGGTCCGCAGATGCCAACATTGCGGTACAACTTTTGACCAGGCGGAATAATTTGGGTATCGGAAATAGAAACTCCACTAATAATAATGCCCCCATCGTTAGGGCGTATCTCGGGCGTATAATGAATACGAAATCCAGAATGATCAATGGCTGTAAGTATTCATGATATAATTTAAATTCTTAATTTAGCTGAAGCTCTACTTACCGCGCAAAGCTTTTTGGTTATCATAATGAATTTCTAGCATATAATACTTGACGCCCGATGAGCCGCCAATGGGTATACCAACATGTTCTGGTAAAAATTGCCCTGACGAGCCAATGGACCAAACCGCAACTGGTGTCGAACATGAATCCCAGTCGCGTGGCGTCAATGAGTTGCTGTTGCATACGGTTCCCGTACTTCTGACCCAAACATCCCACGAGGCGGCATTTGAGCCGGGATAAGATTTTGTTGAGCATTCGAACAGAGTCATGTGATGCACAATTGTTTCGTCGCTTTTCCTATATTTTTACAATTGGTAATTAAGAGATTTGATTTAATATGCGAATTAGTTACTTACGAAATATGTGTTAATAGCGGTTCATAGCCAATAATATGATGCTTTTGTTTCAGCATTGGAGCGCTGACAATTTTACACCAATACAAAGTATCCATCGATGGCTCCAATGTAACATTATTTACAACAATATCCCATTGATGAGTGACCTGCTTGGCTGTCATACTTTGCTTCCTGAAGACGGGATTCAGTAAATGCATAGGCTTCGCACCACGATTCTTACCATGCCCATCTAGATTTCCGTGTATCGGATCCTCATTGCCAAACGACCACAAAACTTTTACCGTGTCGTGCTATAAAGAAGAGTTTTATTAGTTTATTTCTTTGAAGATCTAAATGAGTTCATTTACTTACGCTTAATGGAATATCGTATGGATCACACGTTTCAACCAAACGCTTGAATTCAACAATGGTGTGGGTCTCATTTTGACTGCCATCAATAACGTGATAGTTTTGAGTATCATCTTGTATGGGTGCTCCGTGCGGATGTTCGAGGGAACCATGACAATCCTATTAAAACAAAGAACCGTGCGTTAATATATGTTAATATGCTAAGATATAGAGCAGCTACAAATACTTCTTTGTTTGAAAAATTATAGCTAGGCATAGGCAGAAAAATTTTTAAAAGTGTTTGGGATCGTTTATTGTTTATGTTATCCGCGTCAGCTGTTTGTCCATTTGAAGACCTTTCAGATAATTGCTGCAGCAAATGGCTAATGTGAATGGCAGATGTTGATAAAGGCCAGCTGTCTAGGCAGCGCAGGATATACGTAAATAGAAATATACATATTTACACATTTCATTGTAAACACGACGTCATCAAGAGCTGTAAGAGTTGATTTGCACGACCTTGACCTTGGTATATTTTTGCGTAAGTCTTCTTTTGATTTGCAGTCTGTTTATTTATATTTGAATATTAATGTGCGCTTTAACAATGGAATTTTAATGCTTATTTGATTATTTCTTTTTACTTAATGCAGCTTCAAAAAATGTGTTTTTGTGCTTTATCTGAGGCCATAAAATGTATTGTTGGCTATTTTAATTGCAATTTAGATGTATGTATTATTTTTATAATTTTATATACATAGTACTTGAATGATATAATAACTAATTATTGATCACTTATTGAAATAACATAAGGTGTCATTTGCGACATTTCTTAGCTAAGGGCCACTAAATTAGACACCCTGTATATAATTTATTTCCGATGTTTTGTTACATACATTCCCTCACGCACACCAGCACATGCAGCGTCACATGCATACATGCATACATATGTACCTACACTCGAGGGCTGTTCTTTTGCTGCTTCTGCCCTTAAATAACATTTATATATTGTACATACATATACACTTTAATGAATCACAAATTAGTCACACACTCTTCCATATTAACTATGATTCTCTTGTAAATATTTTAATTGTTTGTATACTCGATACAACTCTCAACTCGAATGCACTCTCAATACTCACCAATGCATTTGCTTTTCCTGTATGATCGTCTACCCATAACAAAACCATATCAGCACTGGACATGCGAGCGTCTTTTTTGGAAAAGCCAAGGCCAATGAAGCCGCGAGTATTGACCGTGACTTTGAAGTAAATATCCTTCTCTTTTACTTGCCACTCCAGCCAATATAATCCATTGTTGTCCATCATCTCTAGCCTTTGCCAGTTCTGATGCCGCACCGATTTATGTGCAATTGCATCGCTATGATGCGCACAGTTTACATTTTGCCATATATAAACGACAAATATACACAGTTTTGTGAATATTTGTAGCAACATTTGGAACTTCTCTTTGTTTTCCTTTTTTTTTTATATATTTAAAATATATTATTTTTAAATCAACGACACTTAAAAAGTACGCGCCTTTTGTTCTGCTCGGTTGCACGCCTTTTCCGTTTTAATTTGGCTTCAATACTACGTTTATGCACACGCTTCAGGGGAAAGATCATTTCACAAGCCGGCAGATGTTCTGAAGGAGCTAAACACACCACCTTTTGCGCACACACAGGTATACACAAGCGCTCAAAAATACATACAAGAATGCACACATGCATAGATACATACGCATACATATTTACGTATGCGTCGTCCTCATGATCAAAGCAAAAATATCGATATTTTATTAATTACAAAACATTTAAACGATATACAAAGGATTGTTAATATCGATAAGTTGCAAGTAAATGATCATTGTCGATGCATTCAATTTATTCTATATATTAGAGGCATTGGATAATTCACGTATTATCTTAAGATATACAATACATTTGATATTGTATTTGTCATTAGCATAGAATTATTTGCAGTTCAATTCATTTAACATGAATAATTTGTCTACAAACATATTTTTTGGTATGCATAAGCTTAGTTATCATAAGAAAGCTTCAAATTTCGCGGGCAACGTAAGTAATTTAAAATGTTCTTTCCATTACGTCATTTCCATTAAAATATCGATTATCTGTAACGGCGTTAAATTAATTACAACTTCATTTAACTAAACTTACCTTTATCTTATTTCTTAAGCAACCATAAGATCGTTACCAATATCAAGCATTAATATTTTTAGCCTGCTGCTGGACAGTTTCCCCACTTTCTAAACAAATCGCTTCATTTATATAAATAAGATACAAACAGATTAACAGTGATTATATTTACAATTTGTATGGGATGATTGCAGCGTTTTAAGAATAATACTTATAACGTCACTGAACAATTTTAAAATAATTATCTAGTTTTATGTCGCTACAATATGAAATTAATAAAAATAAGTTATTATTTTTAAGGGTAACAAGTTAAAATTAGAGAATTCTTTCATTTAAAATTGGCTATAACGCATGATTTGCTATTATATGGACGAACAATCATAACCTAACAGAAATTCTTGTCTCTCAGTAGAAAACGTTTCACGTTACATTTAGAATAATTAAAGAAACTCTAAGACGCAGTCACTGGGCCTAGGGTAATAGTCTGTGGCTGGGGCATCCTCGGACGTATCATCATAGTGGCCTTCTTTAAAGTATAATCCCAGCCCCGCCAGCGGAACCATACAATACCCTGTCGAGCGGTTAAATCTTGTGGATCATGCAGATAGAGTCCATTCAAGCCGCGTCCGCAAGACTTCCACCACCAACCGCCCTGAAAAACCAAAGTAATGATAGTGAATA